TGTCTGTGTGTGTGTGTGTGTGTGTGTGTGTGTGTGTGTCTGTGTGTGTGTGTGTGTTTGTGCCCTCTGTGCGTTCTATCTCAAACCATTTCTTCCTTCTCTCCTTCCATTCTGTTCATCCACACCAAAGCAAACACAACTCTCACCAACAACTGCACTTCCACACCAATCACCCTCCTCCCCCCCCCCCACATCGAAACCAGGCTACCTTGTGCCCAGCAACATGTTTGCGGTGGTGGTGCTTGGGTATGCCAAGGAGATGGCATTGAACGTTTGGCACGACGACGTCATTGCTTCACGCGCGTCCACCCTTGCACTGGACATTGATTCCGGCATTCGAAACCACGCCATCGTGCACCACCCACAGTTTGGCAACGTCTACGCTTACGAGGTGCGGTAGATGCTTGTGATTTCGTTGGTGGCTGTTGTGATGAGATGTGGACGCTGGTTGGCTGGTGGTTGGTGTGAGCGTGTGAGCGTGTGAGCGTGCATGTGTGTGTGTGTGTGTGTGCGTGCATGGTGCCAACGTGTGCACCCCGTAACATGTATTCACCCCCCCACCTGCATGTGTGTGCGCGTGCATCAGGTCGACGGCCTGGGCAACCACCTGCTGACAGACGATGCGAATGTACCGTCGCTTCTCAGCATCCCATATCTCGGGTACAATTACGACAAGGACGCGTACACCAACACCCGCCGTTTCCTTCTCAGTTCAAGGTGGCATTGATGATGATAATGGTGGTGGTGGTGGTGGTGGTGGTGGCACTGATGGTGGTGATGGTGATGGTTGTGGTGGTGATGGTTGTGGTGGTGGTGGTGATGGTGGTAAATGTGTGCCGTGCACGCATGCGTACGTAGATGTGCGAATGTCAGCCTGGGCTTGCTTGCTTGCTTCTTCACCACCACCACCACCACCACCACCACCGCCACGGTGACAGCAACCCGACGTTTGCGACGTCGCGTGATGGGCGGTTCCGTGGCATTGGATCCGTGCACATGCGCGGCGCAATCAAGAACAACATCTGGCCAATGAGTCTCATCATGCAGGTGGTGCTGGTCATGGTCGTAGTCGTGTATTTTGGCGGCAGTGTTGGTGGTGGTGCTAGTAGTCGTGGTAGTGGTGCAGTGGTATGTTTCAGCTCTGCCTCCACACACACACACACACACACACACACACGCACACACACACACACACACACACACACACACACACACACACTCTCTCTCTCTCTCTCTCACTCACACTCAAACAGGGGCTGACAAGCACGAGTGTGGAGGAGAAGCAAAGCGTGCTTGACATGTTAGTCAAGTCGACGGGCGGCACACAGCGCATGCATGAGAGCTTTGACGCGGACAACCCAAGCAAGTTCACCCGCAAGTGGTTTTCGTGGGCAAACGCCCTCTTTGCAGAATACGTGCGCACGCTCACAGACGAGTGCGTGTGACATGATTGCGCACCCAGACATCGAAAGAGAGAGAGACAGACAGAGAGACAGAGAGAGAGAGAGTGTGTGTGTGTGTGTGTCTGTGTCTGTGTTTGCGTGTGAACATGCATATGTGTGTGTGCTTGTCATTTTGTGTGACTGTCACTGCGGCCATCCATGTGCTTGTGTACCGTGATGGCACATAGCTGCCAAAGTGGATGCCTACGCGAGAGCTCGCATGTGTGCGTGTGTGTTCCCAAATTGCTCTCTGTCATGCTGCTGTTACAACAACACACACACACACACACGTGGTCAGTTCTGAAATGGCTCGTATAATTTCTTCATGCAAGTGGGCGTGGTGTGACGACAAACTAGAAACCATCAACACAACCAATCAGCAAACAAGGCAAAGCATACAAAGCAAAGCGTAGCAACAAGCAAGGCAGTACAGACAAGGCAAAGAGGAGGAGGGGGGAGGAACAGGTGTACAGACACAGACGACATAAGAGGAAGTCACATGCATCCACACACATCACATGCACACACGACGCGGCATGCGCACATATTCACAGTACACAATACACACACGCAAACACACGATACACACAACATGCACACGCAGGTTGGCAACTGCTGCGCTGCTGCTATAGGGCCTTGAGGTCTTCGTAAAACGTGGACAGCGCCGATGCGAGCGCGCTTTGAAACGGCGCCTCCAATTGCGACGGGCGCGCGCTGCCCTTGCGAACCTCCACCTGAACCTGTTGTGTGTGTGTGTGTGTGTGTGTGTGTGTGTGTGTGTGTGTGTGTGTGTGTGTGTGTGTGTGAAAAGGGTGGGTGATATGTGGAGGAAGCTGAGAGTATTAGAGAGAGAGTGTTTATGCATGACGGATTTTTGTGGTCGTTTTCTCTTTTTTTCGAATTTTTTTTATTTTTTTTTTTTTTTTTTTTTTTT